CAGTATGAAGTGTGCGTACCCGTGCATGGTGCGGGTGGCGGGCCTCCAGCTGTGTCACCATGTCCTGCAGCTCTTCACCCACTTGGCTCTTGCTGGCCAGCGTACAGACGGCGGGCAGACCGGCGCTATCCAGCAGCGTCAGCAAGTAACGCGGCCCCCCTCAGCCCGTGGTCGGCATGGGCCCGCACAGGTCAGAGTGCACGAAATCCAGTGCGTGCTGCGGCCAGTTGCCGCGGTGGAAGTGGGCAGCTGCGGTGGCCTTCACGGTGACACGGGCCTCGCAGACGGCCTCCGTCACCTGTCGTAGTGCCGCTGGAGTGACCTGTGGTCCCTGCACCAGCTGCTTGCTGATCAGCTGCTCCAGCGCGCGGTAACCGAGGTGGCCGTACTGGCGGTGCAGGCGCTGTGCTGCCGCAAGTTCGGTGACTGAGCATTCGGCAGCGCCGGGACGCCCGTTACCCGGTTGCCCTTTTCCGTTGCTGTCGCCATCCGGCTGGCCTTATCGGTGGCGGCGGCAATTCCGCCAGCGCTGCTACCTGCGACCTGGCCCCCGCCGGCTCTGTCGCCCGCGGCGCTGAGGGTGTTGACAGCGACTTTGATCGGCGCCTGCAGGTCCACATCCATGATGTAGTGCCCGCGCTCGCTCCAAGCGGTGACAGGCGAGCTGTTGTGCGGGAGGCCAATGCGCGAGAACCGGCGGCCCGTCTTGTCCGTGCCGAACGTGACCGAGCAGCCGCACGTCGCGAGAAGTTCGACAGACATCAGGGTGAGGCCCGAGCTGGGGACGTGCAACACATTGTGCAGCCGGAGGTAGTGTCCGTCGCGCGTCCGCAGGTGCAGCTCCCCTGTTCCCACAACATCGGCCAGCTGGCTGTTGCCCCACTTGATCTGCTGTGGCGCGCCGGCAGGGACGTAGTTATGCAGCAGGGAGCGGTCACCCGTGAGGTGGTACGGTGAGCCAGAGTCGAGGATGACTCGTGAGCTACTGCCACTGCCGTCGATGACCAGCACCGTGGCACGGTTCTGGCGTGAGCCTCTTCCGCTGCTGCCTGAGCCGCTGCCACTGCTTCCGCCTGCAGTGTCGGCGCCGTTGTGGCGGCCGTTGCCACGTCGAGCATGGCCGTGTTCGTGTGCCCTGTGGCCCCCGCGGTTACCGACGCTGCCGCTGCCGGTGCCCCCGCCGCCGCCGTCACGGTAGCGGTTGCCGCTGCCACTGCTGTCGTTGCCGGCATTGCGCGGCTGCTCGAATGCGTTGCTGCGGTAGAGACCGACGGACTCGTCCGCCAGCTTAACGGGGCATTCATGAACGTAGTGACCAGGCTGTCCGCAGTAGCGGCAGATGTCGTCGGCCCCCGCGGCGCCCGCGGCACCCGAGGCACCCGAGGCGCCCGAGGCGCCGGCAGCAACGCGGACTCCACGGGCGGTGCGGCCAGGGGCAACAGCTCCAACCAGGCCGGACTTGACTGCTTGGGCCTTTAGGTTGTTCTCCTTCTCCTGCAGCATGAGCACGAGCTGCGGGGTTGTCAAGTTGGGCAGATACATCGCGAACTCGACAGTGATAGCGTACTGTGGCGGCAGGCCGTGGAGAATGGCATGGCGCATGGCGCTCTCGTCCCACTGGCCGCCGGCCGAGATTATATCGCTACGAAGCTGCTCTGCCCGCCAAACGAAGTCAGCGGTCGTCTCCCCGTCGTGCATGCTCAGCTGCTTCTGCGGCTCCAACAGGCTCAGCCGGGCCTGTGACGCAGAACGGAACTGTTGCTGCAATAGCTGCATGGCGGCGAGAGTAGTCTGACAATTCCTGAGCAACTGCTTTACGGGCAGTTCACAGGACAGACGCAAGTAGCCGAGCGCCTGTGCGTCTTCCTCCAGGGCGTCTTGTGCGTTGCGACCCGGAGGCGACGGGTTGGTAGCTCATTAACTTGGACGTAACGAGGAAATCGCCGAAGTCTTTGAGTCAATGGGAGTAGTTCGACCCGTCCGAGCGGAGGACGGTCTTACATCCCTTCCCAATGATGGTGGCCGAGCGAGCCTGACTGCTCGAGCTGAAGCAACTACAGATAGTAACCGCCGGGAACCGTTACCCGGGGCTCATAACCTGTTGATGAGACGCTATCTCAATGGGACCTAGCAGACACGACTGAGAGTCATTGGCCGTTCCATGTATTCGGGAGGTCCGCGACCTGCCGCCAATAACCCCCTTGGTAGGCGTAAACGTGTGAATATGAGGTGCTGTTACCAATGAACAGCAGAGCCTTATAAAGGCTTGGGAAGCCTATCCTAATGGACGAGCTGGCACTACTCTAGGACCTGCCAGCCGTTGCATACAGAAGTCCGATGGGCGGCCTTCCATATGCCACAACCGCCACTCACAGCAGTCTGACGGGCGGCATTCCATATGCCACAACCGTTACTCACAACAGCCTGACGTGCGGTCTTAAACAGGCCACTGTGCGGCACGGCACCCCTTCGCACCAACAGGCGGGTCTCGGTGTCCGGGGTTGGAGTTTGGTTTCGGGGGAGGGGGTCGAGGGGGCTAATGATGCCGCACCACAGAAATTCTGTACCATTCGTGTGCCGTGAGTGGTCCTGTCTGTGGTGCTGCAACGGAAAAATCTCAAAAATGTTCGGGCCCGAATCGGGGTGAAGAACCCTGGTGCTTTCCGTGCCGTGTCGCGTGCCTTTTTTTCCGTGTGATTGTCATTGTTTAATTGATTGCAATCATGCTTAGCTGAAGGTTGACAGCAGCAACAGCAGCAGCAGCAACAGCAGCGCAGTAAAACCTTCAAAAGAACATCAAAACCAGCTCAGCGGGGTCGGCCGTCAGCTAAGCATGGCTTCTTTGTTGTTTGTATATGCGTCTGCATCGCAATCTATCTGCCATCCGTACAATAATGCCTTTGCCATAGCATCCTTAACCAACTTGTCTTGTACTCAATACGTATGCTGTTTCCTTTTTTCCCCTCCGCTCGCTCTCGGTCATAGCTCCACCATGGCTGGGTGAGGCGCGTTGCCCTCAGGCCCCCGCGCGGATCTTGAAGAAATAGTTCGCCATGTTCGCAGTGCCGTTCTTGTTCGTGGGTAGTGTCAGTTCAACACCTGATAATATGACGGTGTGAAGGGCCCTGCAGGGCCCCGTGTACCGAGAGTGTTACCTGAGTCAAGATTGGATGACTTCTGCTCCCGGACGCCGGGTTCAAATCCGCCTGCCGACTCCTCGGGTGGGTGAGGGGTGATGAATGGGAGGTGGCACCCCATCTTGTGCCCGCCCCAATCTTGCAGGCGCTGTTATTGCCTTTTGCTGCATGTGCTTGGTGCCTGGGGAATGCATGTCACTGCACAGGCATGCAACAACACCCAGAAACGTTGCCCCAATCTTGCAGGCGCTGTTATTGCCTTCTGCTGCATGTGCTTGGTGCCTAGGGAATGCATTTGATTGCACAGGCATGCAACAACACCCAGAAACGATGCCCCAATCTTGCAGGCGCTGTTATTGCCCTTTGCTGCATGTGCTTGGTGCCTGGGGAATGCATTTCATTGCACAGGCATGCAACAACACCCAGAAACGTTGCCCCAATCTTGCAGGCGCTGTTATTGCCCATTGCTGCATGTGCTTGGTGCCTGGGGAATGCATGTCACTGCACAGGCATGCAACAACACCCAGAAACGATGCCCCATGTTTGTAAGCTCGATTTCTATTTTTTTTAATGCATCATGCTTGCAGTGCCTCAAGCTTGCATGTACTTACACACATACATTTTAAGCTTTTGGTCTTTGTGTGTGGTGCTGTAAGGTTGCATTTTTAACTGCAGCTCTCAACCAGTGACCATGAAATTTGAATCCTGGCTTCAGGCCTGTCAAGTCTCAACTTCTGGAATCTCCCATCTTAGGGTCCCTAAACTTTGTGTTATGTACCAGCTTGGGTGATCATGATGCTAATAATGTGTTTGGCAGTAATAGGATGCGCATAGGAAGCGCATAGGACGGTCGTGCGAATAGGACTTGTGCAAATTGCCCTTTGCGACCAAAATGTGTGAGAGTCCGTTGGTGTGTTAATATTGTGATTACACCGCAATGAGTTAGCATACTTTCTCATTCCATATGGACAAGACAGTCTGAAGACACAGTCTGTTTCTTGTTTCCGATTTATATTGTCCATACCATTCGTGCAGTACTATTGTACGCAAATTAGTAATGTACGACGTGATGCATTCGCTTGCATTATTTGTGCAGTTGTTCGAGTCGTACTGTCGTACGTGTCGTGTACTGCGATTTTTGGCCACAAACTAAGTGTGTCGTATTTTCGATACGTCTTAGAATGTTGCATCTGTTTCCTTTCCCAACGAAAAGTCTAGCTTTTGCAGGCGTAGTAAGTTGGTGAGTAACAGAGACTGTAGGTTTTCCTTGACGGGAGCGACTTGCTGAATTGCAGGCGTTTCCTGGCTAGGATGGCCTGCACGAACACTCATTTGTAGTGTTAGTTCAATCAAAGCATGTGCACACTCTGTATAAGATGTGTGTACAGTTGCCATGAAGTACTTGTGACTTTTTGTGCAATGTGCGTTGAGAGAGCTTGTACCTGTACGCGATGTGTATGCTTATGAACCGAGTGGAAATGCTAAGAACAGCACATGTGTAGCTTATACCGGCAAGGGGCTACCCCCTTGTCGTACAACAAGGTGTACGGCACGGGGCTTATCTCTGTGTGTCGTACATTGTCGTGTGTACGGCAAGGGGCTAGCCTACTGTCGTAGATGTTAAGCTATTATGTGCTTGCTAGCATCAAAGCTCTGCCAGCGGGAAGCCACATACCTTTAAACGCATATCCTCCTCTGCTGTGAAAGTGCACCTTTACACAG